CAACACACGCAGCGGACTATGAAGATTTACCGGTTTTAACGTTGCCAGTCAGCAGTTCACTTCCAGTGCGAGTGTGTGTGTGTGTCTATGTGTGTGAGGGGGCGGTAGTGGGTGGAAAAAGGGGGTGTGGCAGGATGAGGGTTCAGTGTCGCGTCTGGCATTATTCGTCGCATGCCCCATGCTCGGTTTCCTGTGCGCCCTGCCATGTCGTCATGCTATCGGAGGTTGCAAGTCCGGAGATGGGAATGGAAATGGCCATAAGGAGGATACGGGGATCCGAGGACACGAGCTGCAGGATGTGGACGAGGATGAGGACGAGGATGTGGCTGGGACTCATGCAAAACGCGTATCGATTTGTTGGGTCACGAAGGAAGCGGCGAGAGCAGAATCTCAGGTGGAGAAGCCAACGACTTCACCTCGTGTTGAGTTCGCTAAATCAAGTATATAATGATTAAATTCCACATTCTATACAATAAACACTAAACATTGTAAATAAATGATTATTGCATTTTAAACTGTTTTAATTTTTATTTTAAAAATAATACAATAATTTTTTTTAAATATGAATGCAGTGAGTTATATTTGTATTGTGGGGATTCTTTGGTAAAAGTTTTTTTACCCTTTATATATACAACAATTTACCTGTTTATCCATACAAAGTATTATACATTTTTAATGTAATGTTTAGGGAGACCAATTTTGAACTGCCTTTCGAAAATAGTGTTTATCCGATCGGGGAGACAATGTGCTAATTGCCCCAGGCGACACAGAGAGCTTCATGATTTGCGGTCGTATATCTCCCGGTGTTGCATACATATTTGATGAGCGACAGTCCGCCCATAATTAGGCGCTACCACCTGAACTGAACCGCACTGAGGCCCAGTAACTCTTTTCGCTGACATGTGCGTGCAACATGGTTGCAAGGTTGCAACTGCTGCTATCGGACTAGATATTGTGGGATCTGGGATCTGGCCCTTATCACCAGCTACTATCTCGGCCCAAAAGCAACTCGACAAGTGCGTGCGACCCGGCAATAAACGGAGCATAAAACGGGTAAATGTTGCGCAGTCGCCTCTGGAATGGAAAATAATTAAGTTAATGCAAAATGCATTTTCAAACTGCCAGCCCCGGAATAATTGCCAGTGGGCTGTGTGCCATTCATAATGCGAAACTGAGAGCGGAAAGGCAGAAATCTATCATTTTTAATAGGCACGTTTGCCACCCGGAAATATTAATTGAAATTTAAAACGAGGCTTACAATTGCTTGTTTCCCTGACTGAAGAATTTCTCTGAAATTGCAGGTTATCTTTGTCAGTTCGGAATTCTTAATTGAAACTAATTACATGGGATGATTCCCTGAAGGTGGAGTTTTATGTTCTTTTTAGCACTACATTACTTTATTTTTAATTGCTCACTTATATTGAGACAAAGGAATGTATGTAATTTTTTTTTAAATGAAATACAAAGCAATCTCCCATTTGTTATGAATAATTATGTGTTTCCTTCTTTTTTCCCCATTTTATACACTGCAATTGAAATTCAAAGTACATACTCGCTAGCCAAATTAAGTTTATCCTTTCTTCAATTATATATCTTAACTGTAAGTTAGCATCTTGTTAAGCAGCTTTCGCTGTGAAAGGCGATCGCGATCCTTTCAACGCGTTTTTTGGAAAGGACATGTAACAGGGGCTTCGAACTTTTTGCTTATCCCCACCGCCATTAAATTCATTAAAAGTGCATCAAAATGTATCAGCAAGAGGCCTCGTAATTTGCCTGTAATCCATCACCGTGTCGCCAATTGACACCCGAGGGTCCCTTCACTCGCCGGTAATTTTTTAAGGTTTTATATATATGAAAATATGAATTACAATGTGAGCCGAAACATGTTAATAAGATGAAGTACGTGAATATGCACTTCAGACATCGGACTTTCGACTGGCAAATTCAATTAGGCGGAACGAACCGAGACAGTCATGTGCGATAAGTGGCTGGCACAAAGGCAGACGAGTCCTATATCCTAGCTTATCCTGCGCCGATCTGCGGTTGAAGTTGCAGCTGCAGATTCATTGTGTGCGAAACGAGCCGAATGCGTAATTTAATAAACTCACGAGGGGCAACTAGGAGCAGGTTCGGGACATTTGCGACAACGCCTGCCAGCAATTCGGCCGAAAACTAGTCGGGGCAACTTTAATCCCGCACCGCATTTGCGTAATAAAAGTTTCGACTTTATTGTTAATTAAATGGCCAGGACATGTCGTTGCCGTTGAGCTGTTGTCCTGCTGCCAGGCCAAAGGCCTTTTAGCCTTTTAGCAGCTGCCTTTGCCAGCACGTCTATCAATGTAAACGTGATCTGGCCATAGCCCGAAAGTGTGGAAATTATAATAAATTTAGCCGCATTTGGCCCGCAGTTTCTGCCGGCCGTAATTATGCAGACACCTTGCTGCTATCCACTCGCCTCTCGATCTCCGGCGAGCTGCAATTGCATATTGCCATATTGACAGCATGATGGATGTTTGGATCCCGAGCGCTTCTACGCCGCATCGAAATCGATTGAGCTTCTCGTGCTGCAAAAGGAGCTTTTGCATATATGGAGGGGCATGCACTGCCCGAAAATAAATAGCAAAATTCATAAGATGTTTGTAAAGTTTACATAATATTTGAAGTAAGTATACATAAGTACATGTTTAGGGACGATTTATGAATTCATTTGACTGTCAGGTCAGATTACAGGAATCATTCCTCTTTATTTAAATAGTAATTTTTTCTATTGTTACATTTGTTTCTAAGTAAATGTTTCACTAAGATTCAGGGTCCCAATAAATTATGTTTGAACTTCGCATATCAATTTTCGTTGAGTGGAAATAATGCCACGGGTGGTCCGCCGTCAAGTGGCTGGACATTAAGATTCGTCCGGCGACTACCGTTGGCCTTTTAAGACAATAAATTTTATAAATAGCTTATGCATAAAATGCAGTCTCTCCTCCTCCCGGCCACTCGATTCGAGCGCGGCTCTCGACTCCCGCTGCGTTGATATTAATTGGACGACATAATTGCGGGGCCACGTTGGCCATAATAATGCGGAGTGCGGTACGTGGGGTAATTGCTCTCGGAACACGTTCCACTGGCAGCACTCCCCAATCGAACGAAGCGAACTACCGGACTTGGAATTTGTATAAATTTGGCTAACATCGAGGGTCCTCTTCAGTAATTATGGGTTTGTGGCACCCAGCTTTTGCCTCTGCCTTTGCTGTTGCCGTTGTCTTTGCCTTTTTGGCGGCACACACTCGCAATTATCGGTGTGTGTCCGTCCTTAATTTATTATCTTTGGCGCTGCCCTAAATCCAATTGTAATACAATACGCGGCATTTATCATATTTAAGCACCGACTCAAAACGCACTCACATCCTGTATTTACGGTCTGCTAATACGCGGTTTAAGTTAAATGAGTGCAACTGGGGTAGCTTTCTGTCTCTTGGATGCAGCAATTACTGATTAAAAAATATTTTTTAAAACTTAAAATGTTGGATTGCGGGACATATTTCATAATATCACAAAACCATCCTGCTATGCCTTGAAAATACAAACAAGTTTTAAATATTTTAAAGGGTTGCACAATATTTTCACTTGATCGGAAATATTATACTTAATGCAACAATTTATTTAAAAATACCTTGTTATATATTTTATAATTTATATATTTTTTTACACATTCATCTATTATTATTTTATATTTTATATTCAGAGTAATACTCTAATAATAATGCTATCACATATTATATGATTTTCTTCAAGGTTTCTTCTCTTAAAACTCCCAATTTTTTTCATTTGTTTGCCCATCATCAGGCTGAGATTGGATCGACACCAGCCAGGACATTGTTATGATTATAAATATTTATTTTATGCGCTTCTCTGCTCAGCTCAGGGCTTTTCTCTTCCCAACTCCCCAACGTGGAAATCGGTTATATGGAGTGTGCTGTTTATTTTTTCGTAGTCCCTTAATAAGCCCCGTGAATGATGAGCAAATAAAAGAAGGCGTCCAGGGGAGGCGGATTCCTTTAAGGACATTAAACATGTGTGTGAATGTGGGTGTGGCATGTGTGGAAGGGAGGGCCCAAAAAGAAAATGGCGCCGAATCAGAGATATGGGAGGAGATAAAGACGGGAACGAAGGAGCAGCGAACAGCGAGCAGAAAACATGTCCTGGCGAAATTGCGCACAATTACGGGGCAGAATCGGACTGTACTTCACTCACCGCCAACCCCCGCGTCTTATCCAAGCGGAAAAGAATTATTACGTTGAATTTTCCCCCAAAAAAGCAAAGGAAAAGAAAACGAAGCGAAAGAATTCTCATTTTTTGATAGCCCACCAGGACGATGCCGCAAGGATACACCGAGAAAAATACCATGCAGGCAGTATAAATAGTATCTTTTTTAATTATAAATTATGTTGTTAGTTGTAATATCAACTCATACTTTAGAATGATTCTTATTACTATATTAATTATTTTTATTGCAAATCTTTATACAGTGATAGCTAAACAATCATTTTAGAAATAAAATCTGAACGATCTGTATGATCTGTATGTCTATTGAAATTTATTTTTTTTTCTTGACAAAATCATTTTATTTAATATCTTCTATATATTTTTTGTAGTATATTCCTCCGTGCTTCCAAGGATATGCCATCTACAATGCTTGGCTCACGTGCATATGACAGTGGAGTAAACAATTTCATTTCGCGCAGCAGGACCCACAAGATAACTGCTACAAACGAGACGCAAGATGCTGCAGTGGCGGAGGGGAGGGGCGAGGGGGGTTCGGACTTTGAGGGGAGGGGTTCAGGGGGGTGGTAAAGGAGCGGCAAGGACAACGACAGCACTTGAGTTCTGTTTTCGAAGCCGGACAGGAACAACAACCACCGGCAGCAGCAGCAGCATAAGAAGTTGCGTAAATATATTGTCCTGTCGCTTATTTTAAGGTGGGGTTTTTTTTCGTGAATCCGGGACAGGACGAAGGACGAAGAACGAAGGACTCAGGACTTTGGACTGCGGTCGGCCGGGACCAATTCGAAAAACTCCTGCCAGCGCCGTGGGCGTTGGACGCAGTTAGTCGAGCGGGCCTGGCGGATTTTTTAATGCGTGCCTCTATAAATTTTGCACGCCTTTTGTAAATGTGAGGACCAAGGAATAAACTCCTGCAGGAGGAGTGGACACTTTTGTGGCGGAGTGAGGCGTGGGCAGCTGTACACGTGCCCTGACCAGTTTTTTTTTTCCAGAAACTGTCAAATTGTTGTTACTGAACCATTCTCCTGCGCTCTGGGGGTTTGTCTCTGTTTACAAAAATCTTGTATATTTGTCATGGGAATGTTTATCCCCAATATTGTTCCATAAATAACTTGGATCAACCCTACACGGAGAAAATATTTCCTTTAATAAGAGATTTCATTTTAAAAAGAGGAATAACATTAAAGAAAACAAATTAGAAATTATGGCTTAATGTTTTTAAAAGGCATTTTTTAAATTATTTGTTGACTCATTTTGGATATAATGAAACAAGCCTTTTAAGAACTTTTTACAGCAATTTATTCGGGATCATTTTCCTCCTCCGCCTTGGAAGTATCCAACAGCAACTCATCCTTAAGATCACAGCAAGCCTTCAACTTGATGGTGTCCAAGAAATCCATCCATTCGCCGAGTTCCTCTTTTTTCTCCTCCTTCAACTGTTTGGACTTATCAACAAGGATATTATTATTGGGTTCCTGAGGAGTCACACAGAAGGCCAGTAAAAGATTGCGACGGGTGAAGTGGATCATATAAAAGGGAGCTCCATTCGTGGGAAAAGAGCTGATGAACAAATCGTTTACGCTAGCTTCCTTCGTTTCTGCCTGATTTTTGCTTTTTGAATTCTTGGTCTTATTCAGATAGTCCTTTATCACCCGTTCAAAGTCCCAAATGCTCAGTAGACAATCCTGACCACCCACAACCAATAAGTTATTATCCAAAGCGATCTCCATGGTGTTGATAGTTGACTTGTGATGGTCGAAAAAGCGTATTAAAACCTGGTTGGGAGTGTCCCAAATCATGATGAGGTTGTCATCCCCACCGGAAACCAGATAACGACCACAAATGGAGAAGGTCAAGGCGGTAATCCTAGCTTTATGGCCGTTGAAAATACGCACTTGGATACTCTTGACAACATCCCAAAGCCTCACTGTAGTATCTGCAGATCCAGTGGCCAAATAGTGACGATTCGGGTGGAATACGCAAACCGCAAGTTCAGCCAGATGTCCTTGTAGAATCCGAGCGGGTTTCTTGTTGTCCTGCACCCAAACTCTGGCCGTGCAATCATCCGAAGCGGTGGCGAAATAAAAACCCATTGGGGCGAAAACAACATAGCAAACGGGCGCCAAGTGCCCAGCATAAATAACCACACAACTCCAGGATAAAAGGCACCACAAGCGAACGTGGAAGTCCTCCGAGCAACTGAGTAAAAAGCGTTCGTCTGGATTAAAGGAGCAACCATAAACAGATCCCTGATGTCCACGGAGAGTCCTCCTCGAGAACTTCTTGTTGGGATCCAGCATTCCCTTATCAATCCCAGCCATTTCGGTGTCCAAAACCTTCAGCCAATCGGCTGACATCAGTTGAACCAACTTCGAGGGTTTCAGGGAGAAGATATATATGGTTGAGGATAGAGTTCCCAAGGCCAGCATGCTGATACTTTCCGAAAAGGAAGCACAGAGCACAACCTCATCGGAAGACGGAGCAGTATACAAATAGGCTGAAGGCAGGTTCTCCCGGTCCAATTTCACGCGGTGCTGCTCATCGTTCTTCCGGTGAAGTAGGTCCATTCTCTTCGGATGCGGATTGTAAACCTTGCCCGCTGAGGGCAAATTAAGATTCTTGTGGGCCGGCGTTTCGTTCTTCCTCCTACGACGCTTTTGAATTATTTGATGAGCAGTAAAGTTCTTTTTGTGCAAGGGTTCCGGGGCAGCCCAAGAAATCGGTTCCAAAAGAGGCTCTCCAATCGCAATACGCTGCTTGGGTTCCTCTTCCTCACAATAGGTTTTAATTTGAAAGTGAGTAAGCAACTTCTCCTGCTGACCCCTCGGCCATTCCTCGGAATAAAAGAGCAGCTGGCGATAGGATCCCTCCGACATCTGCATCTCCAGCTTTTCATGACCAGCCAGCAGTTTTCTAGCCTTATTCGGAACATCTTCTGGCTTGCAAATATCCCTGAGTTTCATAATTCTCGATATATAGGAATCGTCCAATTGGTCTTGATAGCGAACGATGAACAATCTGGCTCTCTGCATCTTGTCATTAGCAATCATCTGCAGATAAGTCAGGGCCATCAGGGGATATATCAGTAGATATATCTCATATTTGTTGTGACTTGGCGCCGATTGAACGAGCTTAATGAGTTGCTTGACAGCTTGTTCGTATTCCACGAACACCGAATCCTCTTTGATGACCAAAACAAAGTTTTCCTTGTCCGGAAACAGAGAATTATCCTTGTAGAAATCGGAACCATCATGGGGCTTAGTTTGATCCTTGGCTGCTTCTTCCAGCTCGGAATCACTTCGGTGATCCGGTGAATCTTCACCCTCTTCGGTTTTCCTTTTGCTTTCCTCCTCCTTCAAAATAGCCAAATACTCTTCTTCTGGAATTTCACCTTTGTCAACAGGAAGTCGGGACATCTGCTCCCAGTAAGTTGTTTTCTTCTTTTCACCTTGGTCATCTAAATCGGTGGCACTATCTTCGCTGTCATCATCGCTTTCAGATAAGTTACGTCCACTGCTGAAGCTGAAATTCGAGCTGGTATCACTTTCAAAAAGATTTTCTTCCTCCTTCATTGGATCCAATTTTGGTTTCCTGATATCCGATTTATTCTTATCCGGTAATTCATCTGGTTTTTCTATATCACTATGGTTCAAATAGAGATTGCAGACTGAAAAAAGCTTTTACAACTTAACTTACATTTTTGGTTCAATTATTTCCGGAGGCTTAACAGGCGGCGCTTCTTCAAATTGGCATGTTTCTTCATTAAAAAGTGGCATCGATGGCAAAGGACCACTACAAACTGGCATCGAGGTGCATTCTTCAGCCTTTTCCTTGGATTCTTCAGAGCTAAGAAAACTTATTGAAAATATACTTTGATAAACATTGCAATCCTTAAGGCTTTTAAAAAGTTACTCCCACCTTTTCTCAAATGAAATCTTGTCGATATCCTTTAGGTTCTTAAGTCCTCCTAAAGAAGATTGTAAACATAATATTTATCCTGAGTTTTCTTCCCAAATTTTAAGGCTCACCTTCAGAGTCAGATTCATCCCAATCACTGATTTTTTCCGAATCCGGAATGGAGGATTTTTCACTTTTACTATCATCAGATTCTCCTTGGTCATCTGCTGAATTTCCAATTTCAAGACCCATTTCCTCCTGGAATTCCTTCAAATACCAGTTTGTCATCTTCGTCTTTTTAGATTCTTCATTGGGTTGGTCGGCTTTCTTTATATCCTCTTTTGCCTGAGTATTCATAGACTTCTTAGATGCATCAACATCGCAATCATCGGAATCATCGGAGTCATCGGAATCATCGGAATCATCGGATTCATCGGATTCTTCGGATTCTTCGGAGTCCGAAATGACAATGGTCTCCACTTCTTTTTTAAGGGCTTCGCCAATGGCCTTTAATTCTTCATCAGAACTCGAACTAGAATCCGAACTTAAACTCGAACTTAATATAGAACTTGTGCTCGAAGTTAAGCTCGAACTTGAACTCTAATAGGATGAAATTCATTAACTAATGGTTTGCAGTAACCTTTTGGTACTCACTGAACTAAGCCTTCGTTCTTTGTCCATGTTTCAAGTCACGATTTAATATTTTTTCTGCTTCTGAACAATTAGTAGAATTTTTCTTGAACTTGTCAATGTTTTAACTTGACAGCTTGGAATTGTGTGGCTGCATTTTTGAATTCTTTTACCTAAAAAAGGAATTTTCCCGGTCACCTAAAATTTTATCTCTCAGAGCGCTATAGTAATAAAAATCTTCTGAACTAATTATTTTTTATTAATATTTGTACGTAAGGATATTACTTTGCAATTACTTCCAAAAATTTTACCATCGTTTCTTTTACTTTAGTGTGCACACATTAAGTGCCTTCTGGCATTGCCAACTCAACTTTTGCGGTCGATTTTATATTTTCCAATACTTTTTCCTTTCCTGATTTTTCTCCCATTTTTTTCGCAGCTTTTACCCGACATGACGCGATGCCGACCGCTGATCTGAAACAAAATGCTGGCGCAGCATCACATCACATGAGGGCGCTGCAATCCAGGGTGGCCTGAAATGACGAGGGGTGGTGAAGGGGCGAGAACGGGTCCGTAGGTAGGAAAAAAATTAATTTGCATACCCAATATTCAACGGATTTGCTGCTGCGGCGAGGCTTCCCCTGCCTCTGACCGTTTGAGGGATTCCCTTTTTCAGATACCCTTCAAACGAGCTTTGTGATTTTGAGTAAGGCACAAAATAAAATTTTTGTATTCTCTGTCGTCCAAGGAACGTCTTTTTCAGGAGGTTAAATATTTCGAAAACGGTATACCCATGAAGATGCCGATGTTTTTGATCATATCGACTTGATTTCTCCCAAATTGTCCTATTTGACTACTGTTGAGTTTTTTTATTACATTTTATCAAAATCTGATTTCTATATCATTAAGCTGCCATAGGAAAGGTAGAAAAAATTATAAATAAATTACCGAAAAAAAATGATAACGTCCATGCATACGTCAAACTAATTCATTCTGTTGGCCTGGTATTTGAAATCTAAGGGTTTCAATTGGTCTCGTCAAAATTGAGTAGCCAAAACTTTCAGCACAAAAATAAAATTTTTTAAGTACCAGGCAAACAGAATGTTGGAGTTGGTGGGCAATTTTCATATATCTTACAAGTTCTCAAAAGTAGGCTACACATTTTTTTATTGAAAATTCACACAGCCAAAAAACGCCATCTAATGCATTCTGTTGACCTGTTATTTACCTACATACTTCACCAGTTTTCTAATTTTGATCAGATTTTGAAGTGGCATGCCTTTAAATGTTTGTATTTTAATTCTATATCAAAGTGCATCATAAGAAATTTTTAATTTTTAAGATATAACTTATAAAGCTATCTAACTTTTTATTGCATAATTTCTCCAGACACGCTTGAGGGTATTGACTATTCGTTTTTCCCGCAACGAGCGTAAGTACAACTTGATTTATCTTTTTCACCACCGCTCACTTGTTAGTGGAATTGTGCGAGTATGCTGGCGAACCAAACCCGCGGATGCGTTTGGAATTCTTCTGTAGTTCGGGCAATATGTCGGTCCGGCCAACTCACTTTGCAGGGCACAAAAATAAAAGACGACGCGAGTAAAAAATGAATATACAAAAAACTGGCGACAGGACAACCCGCAGCAGAAGCAGAAAATATTGCTGCATATTGTTTTGTAATTTCCACCATGATTTATGGCGCCCGGGGAAAACACTTTAAGTGCTTTAAGCCCGATCGAAAACTAAAAATATAGCCATCCATGGATGGGTATGTGTGTCAATCATCAAGGACCACAGTTAGAGGCGAACGAACAATGGCAAACAAAGCCTCATTATGGGCAAACAACAATTGCCAAATCACTTGATATGTAATGCTGGCCATAAATAAATCACACTGCAGCATAATCCATTGTAAAGTGTCGAAAAACTGCAATTGAAATGCAAATCAATGCAAATCGATACTTGAATCATCACCAGTGCCAGTCGCAGCATCGAAAACTTGAACATGAATGATTCATGCAACGCACGCGAACATTCAAATGCAAATGCAAATGCCAGAATGCAAAAATTATCCAAAAATGCAAATGGGCGAGTGCGAAAAACCCGCTGTGAGGGCAACAATCAAATCAAAATAAATGCACCGCACAAATCTCTAACATTGCAACAAAGCCGACAAAAATAAACACGCGGCAAACAATGCAGCTTGTGGATTTTCGCACTTCCGGTTAACTGTTGCTAATTTGATTAGGGAATTTTCCGAGCGGGGCGCGGTCGGGAAAAAGGGGGCGTGGCCAGTGAAAAAGGCCATAAACATTTTTAGCTGCTGCTGATTTCGCTCTGGCCTGCCAACTTATGCAAATTATCCTGTGTGATTTATGCCCAGAATTTTCTCGCCTTCCAGTGGAGCAGAAACTTTGCTCCTTGGGGTCCTGCTGTAAATTGAATTTTACAAAATGCCGTAAATGGTCGATGCGCTACACTGTTTACTATATAAGTGTGCACTTCCAGCTTTAAATCTATTACTTTAATAAGAGGTTAAATTTTAATATTATAGTGTACCTTGCTTAAAAGGAATTCCTGATAGTTACCCGTGGTTTCAAATACTAACTGTTATATTTTTATGATTGTTTTCTTTCATTAATATATTTAAATTTCCCAAGGTTCATAGGAAAACATTTATTCACGAGCCTCAGCATCTTATAAAAATTTCACACGCAATGCAATGAAGCTAAGATTGCTCTTTTAAGGTCCTGTTTCTCATATTCAAATTCCTATGGTGCTCGCATATATGTATATTCAATTCAATCATATCCTGTCATGTTGCCACCAGGAAACTGGTTCTTGTGTCGCTGAGTAAAGCCCCTCAAACCTTTCCGGTCTCGCATTGTTCGTCGCTGAACTTGTCCGTGTCGATTGTCATGCTAATTGAGGCGCAAAGGATTCCCAGGACCCGGGACTGAGGACTCACACCAGGTAGAGGCCGTCGAGAAACTTAGTTTCTTCGCAGACATTGCCGCGTTAAGTGCTCGAAGGAAGGCAGTCGTTAAATAAACCATAAAACAAGCAGTCAGCCATGGAAAACAAATAAAGCCCACCCACAAAATAAGCTGTTTTAAAGCGGGGGAGGGACAAAAAATGGAAAGAAAAAGAAAGGAAAATGTCCCCGACTAAAACCAAGAAACCACAAGCATGACAAACATTAACACGGCCTCTGACGCAATTTAACACCAATTACAATATCCGTTACATCTAATTATTGTAAGCGGGCCGCAAGGAAGCCACTGGGCAGCAAGTCTTGCCGTCTTGCCGACTAAATTAAAGAAAAACACCGCTGCCAGGACATGGGAGGCGCCATTTGCGGTTGCCAGGACATTAACAATGGAAACCAGAAGCAGCAAATGGCGGCTATAAAACAACAGTGAACAGAACCCATGAAATATGAGCAGGAAAAGCAAGGAAAACACAACTGTGGGTGGTTGGGGCGAGCATTTCTTAATTTCCAACAATTTACGCTGAAAGCTTTCAGCGCTCAAATGACGCACAGACGGCTGCAGGACTCCAGTGTCCTGTTCTTTTCCCTGGTCTCTGGTTTTTTTTCTTCCCCAGCCAAGGCGACGATGATGATCTAACGCCATTATTTCCCCGCCAAACGACAGGCAGTTGTTAATGGGGCTTACCACTTAAGCGCGACGGCATAAAATAAACACGCGGTCTGCAGCCACGCCCCCCACGGCCCCAACGCCCCTTTGCCCACTGCCCAACTGCGGATGTCCTGGCAAATTAATTAACATGGCGCTCAGTCGCTGGCAGCATTTTCCACACTCAGAATAATGGGCTCTCCAAAGTTCCGGAATGAAAAACTGGACACAGTAAACAAGTTTTTTAAAAACTCATAAATCTGATTAAAAAAAGTTAAATAAGGAGGAACCTAAAAGAATAATTAAAACGATTTTAAAACAAATGATAGATTTTTTAAAAAGAAGTAGTTTTTTGGATATACAAATTTAAAAAAATATCTGAAAATCGAATTGTTCTGACCTACTAATTGTAGTTTTCAATTAACTGAATAAGAGTACAAATCATTAGTAGTACAAAAATGGTATTCAAAATTATTTCTTACAATTTGTTGACCATTCAATAATATTATTCTTAATCATTGTTTAAACGAAATGAGAAGTATAATATTTTTTACACCAAATTGTGTTATCATGTTCAACATTAAAAAGCCACTTAATTAAAATCGGCTTCAGCTGCTTTTCCGACTCATTTTTCCTAGTGCATTTTTTCTCTGTTTTTCTTCCTTGCCTGTTGTTTTTGTCTTTCGGCGGTTTTTTCTCCGGCTTAATTGTGGACCATCGTCTCCAGTCCTTCAGGGTGTCCTGTCCCCCCAGAAAATGTTGCGATTGGGGAGTTGCCCGGCGGCAGTTTAACAATTAAGAAACGTTTAAAGTTCGGTGAATTCGGGGCGCGGCTTTCCTTTGATTACAAGCCGCGAGTAGCGACCGAGGAAGGATCTTGTGAGGTGAGGTAAGGTGCGGCAAGTCCTTCGCATTGGCAGGACATTCGACATACGCGGCACGTTGTCTGCATCCGTTTGACACCTTTTGTCGGGCCCAAAATGGCACAGGAAATGAGCTGGCCGGTACGTGACTTGTTTTCGTTGTTGCCAGCAAATTGGAAATGTAAAATATTCGCCTGCTCAAGCTCGATTGTTTTCGGCTGGCCGAAAGGGTCACACGGGGATGTTTGGGGATACCGAGGACACTCTTTAAGCTGACCCCAAGATTGGGGCGGCTGTTTAACATTCCGAATTTGTGCACTCGCTCAATTTCCTTCCATTCCCCAGATGTAATTACCCAAAAAGGGCGCCTGCGAAATCTTTCTGATTTGACACGAATTTCTCGACCCGACTCCGGCCGGAATAATTAGTGTCCATTGAATGGGGGAGGGCGGTTGGGCGGGTCGGCCGGTTGCTACGTGCCAAACAGAACGCCCTGCGGCAAGGACGAACACTCCTTGGAGGAAGGACTGTCCTCGCCGGCGGCCCGGCATAATTGCAATTAAAATGTTCGCCGGGAAGTGCAAACACTCGGAGGCAATTGCCGTGCACAGAAATAATAACAGGCAGATTGCGCAAATTAAAATATAATTAGAGACAAACAAGACGGCAAGTTGTGGGGGAGGGGAAATGGCTTAAAGAAATTGCAAGCACTTAGCCAAAACTCGTGATCGGTGGCAATTACCAAAAATAATTTAGATAAACTGATTACAGGGGGAAACTAAAAGTATTATTATTTGTACATGTAGATTTTTATCAGAAGGCTTAATAAAGTGGAAAAATGTTAAAAAATAGAATCTAAAATAGTTTTAATTGTAACTGATTACTTGACTTTGACAAACCGATCATATCTGTTATGATCCTTAAAATCACAGTGTACACAGTGGCGCCCACTGGCAGGCGGTGGCCGCGAAATGCCACGCACTTTCCACTGGAAGAAGTTTTGTGTTCGGCTGGAAATTAGCGTGAGACAACCCACCTTTTATTTTTTTCCCTCGAGGGTTGAACGCGTGAGCGAGAGGGGGCGACACTCAGAGCGAGACAGAAAGAGATTGGAGGTGGGGGGGGAAATGGGAAATGCGAATACCTGGCAGCTCCTAACTAACGAGCAAGTAATTTTGTGGGCCAGCCGAGCTGCTGGGCATCTTTAATGTTTCCTTGGCTACTTTAAGCCGCCGTTGTCTTGGCCTTTTCCCATATTAAGTATACGCCGTGATGGCGAGGCGGAATGCGGGGGGTGGTGCTTTGGATTATTTTCAGGGGGTAGGCCTGTGAGGGTCGTTTTTTTGGCCACACCTTCCACGCTTGCAGGGGTGACTAAACAAGGAGTATTTTTTCCCTTGCGTGCGCCGAGCATTCGCTTTTACTTTTGTTTGCCTGGATTTTCGATAGAAAAAATATATAGAATAAACGAAAAAAAAAAAAAATAAAAAAAAAAGAATGAAATGTGGAAGAACGAAATTTGTTTCGCTGCTGCTTTATGAAATGTCAAAACTTCAAAGCGAACTCAACTTAAATGCAAGAAAATGAGAAAATATTCACTTGAGTGCGTATGCGCTGTCGACGTTTCCTCATCCTGTTTTTCCTGATTTTGTGTCCATTGTCCCGGCGTCCTTGTTGCCGTTGTTTTTGTTTGCGATGCTGATGCTTCTGCTGCTGCTGCTGCTGCTGTTTGAACTGTTGTTGATAGCCTTTATTAGTTGTTGGCCCAGAGCTTAGGCGCTTACGCATTTCCCCCGCCCCCGCCCCACTTTCACTTCCTGTCCCGAATTTTCCACGTCAGGACTCGTGCGCTCAGCAAATAGATATAATTTGGTGCTGCCCTCAATGCCCCTCATTCTGCCTTGCTTTCCATTCGGAGTTCACTTTTTTCCCGGCAGCGAATTTTATTAAAAAATTTTATATTAAATCAATTGCGTGGAGATTTTCTCCTTATATTGTATTTTTCTGGTCGGGGTGTCAGATGTGTTCATGCATAAAGTTGTTTGGCTGGGGGCGTTGGCGGATTTATAATAGTCGTGGAACAAGCTCAGATACATTTCTGAAAAAATCGATAAGGAATATTGAGAATAGATATCTTATACCTTTTAATAACAAATTTGAAACCGTATTATATAACAACTTTTCACATTTGATAGTTAATCTAAAAAAATTTTAATATTTTAAAATATTTTGATATCTAACCGTAATAAATGAACAAAGATTTAATTGGTTCCTTGAGACTTTAATTACCCAGAATCGATTTTTTTGCTAAATGGCTTAATTAAGTCGTCAATATTTTGACATTAAATGCCTGCCAGTAGCCACTATATAAGGTAAGTTTTCCTTCTATTAGAAAACACTTTCCCTATAAGAACCTAACAAAACTGAGTGCTTAGTAAGAATGGCTAAACTAGAGCCTGTGGCGCGATATTGCCAAGTCATTCGAGTGATCCGATTTTGTGTGGGATTCTGCGGAAATGATGTGGCCGATCCCAATTTTAAGATGTGGTGGCTAACATACACTGTAATCGGTGCGATTTTCTTCTTTTTCGCCTGTACTGGGTACACCATTTATGTGGGCGTTGTTGTCAACGGAGACCTCACTGTAATCCTACAGGCGTTTGCAATGGTTGGCTCAGCGGTCCAGGGATTAACGAAGCTTTTAGTCACCGCTAATATGGCCCCTCAAATGCGACAAATGACGGACACCTACGAAGAAATCTACCGGTATTTAAATGTCTTAACTATTTTAGAATTTATTTTTGTTAGGTTTCGTTCTGTTCGAAATATTTTATTTGGCTTTCAGAAGTTCTTTATGTTTGTACACATAAAATAAGAATTAGTATTATATTTTAAAGCTCTTATCTCTTTCTGTTCTCCAGAGAATACGGTGCAAAGGGTGGTGAATATGCAAAATGCCTGGAACAAAGAATCCGAACAACCTGGAAACTGTTCATTGGTTTTATGATACTGTACATAATTCTTTTGGGTCTTATAATATGTTTTCCCATCTTCTATTTGCTGGTTTGGAATAAGAAGGTTTTAGTGATGCAGTTTCTAATGCCTCTAATCGATCACACAACCGATGGAGGACACTTGCTTCTTACAGCTGTGCATGTGGCTTTGATTATCTTCGGTGGTTTTGGCAACTATGGTGGGGATATGTACCTGTTTCTTTTTGTTACCCACGTGCCATTGATCAAGGATATATTCTGTGTGAAGCTTACGGAATTCAACGAGGTGGTTGTGAAAGCGGATGAGTACCCAAAAATAAGGGCAATGCTTTGCGATTTGTTGACCTGGCACCAACTTTACTCTAGGTAAATGATTTAATTGTAACTTTATTTTCTTTTTCTGTAAGCTTTTTTTACAGTCTTCTTCAGTTAACCAAAGAGATATATAGCATCGTGCTGTTTGTGCAGCTTTCTACCACCTGCGTTAGTCTACTATGCACCATATCCTGTATTTTTATGAAAGCCTGGCCAGCAGCTCCTCTTTATCTGACGTACGCTGCAATAATTCTCTATACCTTCTGCGGTCTTGGAACTTTGGTGGAAAATTCTGTAATTTACTCATAAAAATGTATAAGAAACTGTTTCTAATCAATGCATTTCAGAACGAAGAATTTCTAGAGGTTATCTACTCAAACTGTTTGTGGTATGAGCTCCCTGTGAGGGAGGAGAAGCTAATTATCCTGATGATAGCCAAGGCTCAAAAGGAGGTCTGTTTGACTGCTGCCGATATGGCGCCATTGTCAATGAACACGGCTCTCCAGTTGACCAAAGGAATATATAGTTTCAGCATGATGCTGATGAATTACTTGGGAAAGGATAACTAAAAACATATTGCTAAAAAGAGTAAAATGACACATGGTATTGTAGTAAACAAGTAGACACAAATACTCATGTAATGAGTACTTTACTTTAAAAGTGTAAAGCTCTTTAAGAAATACAGCAATAAATATAATCATTTAAACAACAATTTTTAAATGGGCGAATAATATGTTTCTTATTGAAAATGATTTCTAGTAATTGTAAAAGACACTATCTTTGGGGTAATAAATTTTTTACTATCCATAATAATGCACACCTCTCTATGCCACTTCTTACAACTACTCACAGAAAAACGTATTTGCTTCACACCCAAAACTTGCAGTTGGAAAAATAATGCCCTGCGAAATATGAAGACTTGGGTTCAACTTTTAAGAGCCAAGTACCAATGCCCTGATGCTGCTGATGAGCGAACGGGAGGAGTGAATTTGGGCGGGGAAAAGGCTGATTAATTTTTGCTCTTTGTCTAATGAACTTGCCGCAGAAGAATTTAATAAACAGTCGCCCGCTTTATGGGCCCACAAAAAATGATGTCTGCCAGGCCACAGACCATGAAAAATAGTAAAAGCAGCGAAAAAAGAGGCACGAAGAAAACCCTGGCGATGCAAATGAGGGAAAAGTATGAAAAAGCATCGCTGGTAAGTTGTAAAAATTGTCTTTTAATGCCGCGCAAATCCAGCAGATTGCCACGTAGTGCTAATAAAATAAAGTTATGTCCGGGCATAAAGAACAAAAAGCCCGCGCACCGCTGAAAACGCACCCGAAATAGTGTACTTTGGCAAGGAATCCACCGAAATCCACAAAAAATGGCGTTGAAAATTGAGTGCGCGGGCGCAAGGCGAACTCAACGATGGCTGAAAAGGGGGGCTGTGAGGTCGGTAAACGCATCATTAATCAAATGTCCGAAGCGTAAGCACCGTTATTCATCATTGCTTATGGATAAGGTGCTCTTCGGCCCATTCCTACCACCCACCTCCCTCCTCGGAAGTCCACCTCATCCCCAAGTGGAAACCCCTCAAGAAAGTCCGCATGAGTTGCCGTATTCCTTCGCCTGTTTTTCTGTAATGAGAAATTTTGTTTGGAGGTTTTCCAAAAAATATATACAGAGTATGTAGGAGCTTTATAAAAAAGTTATCAACAAATTACTGAAAACAATTTTATGAAAATTCAAAGTTATAAAGGGAGACACATAAATTGTTAACTTTCAACAGCTCAAAATATGTTTCATTATTATTTATTGTATTTAAATTATAATTTAATTTTAATTTTTATAGCTTTATTCTAGCTTTGCTTTAGGAAAAAAAAACAAAAAACTTTTAAAAAAATGTATTAAATTTTGAACATTTGATTACCTTTTCCTAAAATTTGTTTTAAGGCCAAAAAAAATAATTGATAGCAGTCATTGTTTTTTCCATAGAAAAATTTCCCAAAATGACTATCAAATTTTTTCATAATTTCTTTAGACTTCTGGCCAACCCACACGTGGCCAAATCCCAAGAAAATCCACAAAAAGTGAGCTCTAGCATAGAGCTCCCCTTCCACCTCCAACTTTGAAATAAGCCCCACCCTAATCACTTTCTCAGCCACCCTAATGGCGCATATCAATTTGGCTCAGCCACGTGCTGATGAGTTCTTTCCTTTCTTTTTCTACAATTTTTTATTTACTTTACTTATTTTTTTCTGGGAAAATGTTTGGCTATATTTTGAAGAGCTTGTAGTGTGTATTATTGCGGCCTGAAAGTGAATTTCGTGGGTTTTTTTTCGCAGGAACATCATAAATCAGGCTTACATTGCACAGAATCATCAAACAGGCGACAACTTTTCGCAGGAAAGGCGGTCAGAGAATGAGGAACAGGAACTGCTAATGGAGTTTTTACATTAGAGATTGCTTCCCGTCGACTGAATGTTGTTTTTATCGGGGCAACAGCATCGAGATGCTGCTCTAACACCCCTTCAAGTGTCAGTTACATATTGTCGGGACAACAAAATGCTTCACTTTCCATCAGAGCCGGCAACAACCCGAAAAAAAACACAGGAAAAAAGGTTAGAACCAAAAAATTTGCATACACAGCAGCTGAAACAGGATGCGTCGTTTTCTTTTTTTCTGTTCTTTTTTTTGGGTTGTTGTGGTTGTCTGTCCAGGAAGTGCGCACATTGAATGGTTTTCGCTTTTCATTCCACGTCGGCAGCTCACTTTTTTTCTTGTGGAAAACGAAAAAATATTGTAGTCAAAGTAAAAATGTTGGCTATTAATTGGCCACCAGAGGAACAAAACGAGAGAGGGATGCCGAAGGCTTCGGCAGCTGGGGTGAAAATCTCCTAAATTAAATAGAAATTATATGCAAATTCGAATCGAGTTTTCCATTAACCCTTCGACGGCAGGAAAATCATATTTGGTTACATTTCCACAGCACGTCGACGTGTTTAAGTACGCATCATTTGGCCGCTTGCCTGTAATTTAATTGGTTTGGCTGGCGGGGCAGGTACGTATATCCTTGAAAGGTCCTGGCAATGAGGCAACTAATTTATGCCGTCGCCCCGAAGGGTTCAGGAGTCTTTTGCACGTGCGCCGCCGTCGAGGAGTTGCCTTATTAATTATTATTCTAATTAATAAGACGCAGATGGAAGAAGCCATGAGAAGAGGTAAGAAGTGAATAATAAAAGAGAAAAAACCATCATAAAAAGAAAAACACGGATGCCTGGCAATTTGCATATGAGTGACACAACAGGACATTTGCTTCCTGTCACGCAGCCCGGCGAAGAGGACACAAAAGAGGCGACAGGCACGTTCAAAGGATGCAGGATCGAGGGGTGGGCACTTTTTCAGCCTCTCCAGAAATCCAGCAAATCTCATGCATAATGCAAGTGAAAAGGCCCGTGAGAAACTCCCAGGACGAAAATTATATAGTCCAGCCAGACAAGGATTCTCGATCTGCCAGCTGCCCTTTGAAACTTTTTTTGCCTCCCAATTTTTTCTGGACCAAACTAGATTTCCTGCACTATCATCAACAGGTTGGAAATTCCCCGCAAATCCATCAGTCGACGCCCAATCGATTTGCAAAACAATAAGCCTCTGTATATCCTGTAATCCCTACCCCTCCGTCGATCTACCCCTGATCGATTTGCAAGAGATTTGCCAAATTGGCAGAGTCAAATGTCAAAGCAATTAAGTCGCAAAATCGAATCGATTTTCAGGGGTCGCTCTCCCCCTTTTTGTCACTGGCATTATCATTGTCATGTTTGCTAATTCCTTTTGTTGCTCGGCGTGTTTGCCATTTCACTTTCACCTTTCGCTTTGTGTGCCAATCTCTTTCTTCCTTTCGCCGAGGTCGAGGGTTAGAAGTATGCCAATTTCCCTCTTCTAATTATGAGGTGGAGTTATGACAGCCGCGATTATAAAAGTAAACAGCGCACTTGAATGGCTCTTGATTACTTTCTCGCTTTCTTCTAATGACTTTTAATTAATTGGGGTTTGCGGATTGCATTAAAATAAGCAAAATCTGACATTTTGTGAAAGTTGAAGGAAGGTAATTAAATAGAATTAATATTATCATCGAGAAATTAACAAATTTATAAACATTATTATTTTAATTTAGTTAAAAGGGCATTTATTTTTCTATAAAATCTTGAAATTTAACAGAGAACTTGTTCCGAAAAGCAACTTTTGAAAAATATGTTCTTTGAAGTTTAATAATGGTTTGAGGGTTCCTAATTTTTTCATATGAGAGTTGCAGCTCCACAAAGCAATATTTTTCCTCTCATGTAACAATTATTTGTGAACGAACGTCTTCTTGTATTTCGTTGTGCTTCCAAGGAATCTCTCTTTAACTTGGACTTCAACTGGCGGCAGCCTTTGTTTTCGGCTCGTTTCAATGAAATTCATAAAAACAATTTCTTTTATGGCAACCCGCAGATCCCATCCCCAATCTCCATCGTGCGTTGCTGGGGCTCAGGCTCAACGAAATTGGTTTTTAAAAATATTTCACATTTCAATCTCCCCACTCGCCTGGCCGCACTTTTCCCTCTATCTCTCTGTGGGCCACCTTGGCCGGAAAACTTGTAATAAAAGTGGGAGTTGGATTTATGGAGCGGAGGTGGGCGGGCTGGGCATGGAAAACTGGCAAGCCACAACAGTTGGCCAAGCCAAACGCACCGCACATTGTTGGCTTTTTTACTGTCCCCACAAATAACAATCAAAATATAAAATATCCCCCCGCCGGTTGCCCCTGGGGATAAGATTTTGCCAGGGGAAATTGCCGCGAGTCCTGTTGTTGGGCCATGTACAAATTACAGGTGCCCAATGCAAATTTGTGTGGCATATTTCCAGCTAAAAAATAATATTCGCTTTTCGCTGCGTTTGCTGAAAAAATCCACCTTTATTTCTGCTCTTCTCATATTTTTTTCGCCAGGTTTTGGATTTTGATTTTGAGTTTTTCCCTTTGGCTTTGCCGAACTCCGCTTGATTGTCATCATTGAGGCTGAAAAACAGATTTTCCTCCAATCAACGTGGCACTTAATTTCGTTTATTTGATTGGATTTGTGTTTACATGGCTGCCTGCTGAAAGAAGGAGCTGCTGGGTGGGGTTTGCGGGTGGTGGTGGAAAAGGCCAGACATGTGGGTGGGTGTGCTGATAGAGAACCGAAATTCGTTGCAAATTAGAAAATCAAATCACTTTTGGCCGGACTCACACGCCGTCGGCAAAAAAAAGAAGTAAGAGGAAACTGAAAAGAACACACACAGCACAGAACGCACACATAAATTTATGAATATTGAAAAATTAAATCGACATTTTCGCCACCCTCGATAAAGCCCAAAAACAAAAAAAATACAAAATCGAGAGAGTGAAAAAACATGGCCACGGAAGTGGTGCGTTGTTGTTGTTACCCAGCTTTTTTTTTGCGACCATTTTTCCAATGATGGATTTTCGAAATTTTAATGGTTGCTCTCACTGCTTGGATGAGTCCAGGAGTCCTGGAGTCCCGGTGTCCCGGAGTCCTTGCTTCCCAG